AAATTATGGTTTTGGTTCAGAGGCGGTTTGATATTGCTCATTTATTGATATTTTTATAATTTGCAGCAATTTCTTTTTAAAATTATACAAAAAATATCTCAAGTAAAATATTATTGACAGATGAATTGTTATACATCTCAATTTATTTCAAAAACATTTGAAAAAATGAAAGGAATAAATTTTGTAGATTTATACAGCATTTTTGTTTATGACTTATGATGTTGATTTCACAATTTAGAAGTAAAACTTTTCATTTGTCCTTGTTTTCGAAAAGTTTACATTAATTTTGTGAATATTTACTTGTAAATGCGCTTAAATTGTTTTCTGATATTTTACTAACATAATGAATTAGGTTATAATAATAAATAGGAACTTCATACAAATTTGACAAATTATTTATTCTATTCAAATTGAGTATTATAAATGGGACATTTTTGAATATTTGATTTGTCGACTAATTATTCGCTTTTAAAATTACAAATTTCAGTCAAAGAAAAATTTGTAAAACAGTAAAATTTGGTCATTTTCTAAATGTATTTCGTTTTCGAAATTTGCGCTGATTATTCTCCAAATAAATTTTAACTAACATATATATTTATAAATAAATGAGTTTATACAGACAGATATAATCTTAAAAGCACTTTTTTTTTCAAATATTTTTTGAATTTTATTTAAAATCCTATTTTCTTTTCCGATAAATAATTTTATTTAAAAAATCTCATTACCATAACATTAAAAAACAATTTCGTTTTTCTAATTAAATTTATTCATTTATTCTTGAGATCTTATTTTCTGTCTACATTTCATAAAAATTTTGGAATTGGTTTGTTCATGTAACAAATTGTATTCTGTACACCCATATGAGTCTATATGAATACATACATACATAAATATATTTGTGTATTTTAGATTCGGCAATCTATTATTTATTTCATTTTTCACACGACTCCTTAAAAAAAATAAAAAAATGTCCTTGATTTGTGATTTTACTTTATGTTTTTTCATCTTTAAAATCTCCATAAAATTGTAACATTTCAATTTGCCTTTGCATAAAATATTTTGTTGAAAAAATACAAGAACGTTGACATCTTAAGTATTAGAGTACAAAAAAATACATGAAACGCATTGTTTATTTTCATTTCAATCATCGTAGTCATCATAATCATCAACATTATCACTTTAGCCACTACTATACTACAAAAGTTTTAATAATACTCGAAGGGAAAAATCATGCTGATAATTCAGTCATTATTGTTTTTTGTTTTTGTTTTACAAACCAAATATTTTCTTATTCAAAAAAGGACCTTTTATTTTTATACGTACGTACGCAATCACTCAAAGTTACATAAATAAATAGGATGGAAAAAAAAATTAATGTACGTTAAAAATAATTTTGCGGGAGGCTTTTAAATAATATTGAAAACACCACCCAATAATATTTATATATGTAAGCACAAATGCGTCTGTATGTATATAGTAATTGTTACTCACAAATCCATCCATTCAGATTTTAGACAACCCTAATTTGTTTTCAATTTGAAGTTGGTTTGCATTTAAGGGAAAAATAACAAATTTTTTCTTCTCGATTATATTTTCACTGTGAAGATAAATGTTTTTATTAAGTTCTTAAAAAAAAAATATTAACCCTGAACGAACTACAAGTCTACTTTATGATTAAATAAATTTAAATTATAAATTTTTATAATGTTAAGTTAAAGCTTAAAACTGAAACCATTTGAGAAACAATAATTTTTACTTCTAAGATTTAGTCATATGATTATCTAAGAACTTTAGGTAAATGAATTTTTCTTGTTCAGAGTCGCGATAAGGTTTAATGGGTCCAAAAACATCTTTAAATCATTTTAGGTGAACACTTGCTATCAAATTTTATGGTTCATTTTAAATTAAAATGTTTACGTGTTATATTTTAATAAATGTAGGAATCTATTGTAATAATAGGTGCTTTCAATTATCTGTTGTCTTTTCTTTAACCAATCGATTAACCCATTGGAATCATATAATTCATGACTATAATTTATAAGACATATCTTATTACTTATGCTTGTACATAATTATGCTTGTACACTATTAATTAGTCAAGAGCTAATACACAACTATGATAGTAAGTAGCATTAAATTCATTTTACACTGATAAACCACTTCTTCATCTGCCCAAAAATTTAAATATCTTATCATATTTTTACCCCATAAAAAAACGACTACACATGGGTAATATATGTATGTAACTACTTATATCTAATAGTCACCAAATATCTTTAATATGATCCCTTTTCAATTTAAGATACTTTTATATGACAATAATGTGTTTTTTGCTTTTTATGGAATCACTTGCAATTCTAATGAATAAAATTCTCCCCCTTTAAATATCATTTTAAAAAAATAAAAATTCATAAGAAAATGAATTTTTTGATAAAAGGGCCAAATAAATCCCCACCTCCTTGAAGAGTATTCTTGTAGTTATTCAAAAGGATTTTCTACTTTTCTATGACGAATTAAAAAAAAAAGACAAAGTGAAAAATCGGAATGAAAATATCAACTTTGATTGTGGGCTTACTCAGCCATTTGATTGAATTTATTTATTTCTTTAATGATTTACTCACAGTCTTTATTCTCAAACACACTTCATAGTAGATGTATTCCTTTAATTCTCATTTGCTTCCTTATATGAAATTCGCTTTTACGATGGGGTAAATGGTAACACAAGTGAATTAACAAGGCATATCGAATTTCATTATTTGCGCTCAAATTACTGAATCAAATCAAATTGTTTTGATGAAATTTGATTATACTAAATTTAGTTTGTTTGAAGATGGGAATGAAATCAAATCGGTAATTTTATTCCTCTACATTATGGTATTTTAATTGATTTTATGAGAGAAAAATAAAGGAAATTTTTTTTTTTTTGAAAAAAAATAACAAAAATTTGATTTTAAATTTTTTAAATATTTTTAAAATGCATTGAAAAAGACCGTAAATATTAGAAAAAACTTGTGGGTTCTTTGTCTATTTGTAAATTGGTAAATTAAACGGAACATGAAATGGTTTAAAAATGATATTTACTTGTCAAGTGTCTATTTGTTTGATGTAACTGTTAACAGGTTTGAAAAACTTTTAAAAATGTAGTCTTTGAGATTTTGTCTTTTTTAGTTGATGATTCAACAGAGAAGGAATTCTTCACTCAAAGTTTTATGTTTGGTTTTGTATTTAAATTTTTATTTAAATAAATTCAAAAAATAGTTGTTTTTCGAATAGGTTAATTTTGAAGTATTATGCAAAATACTTTTACTCCGACTGTATTTATATGCTAGGGTTTTAGATTTTCTATTCTCCCAAGCATTTTAAAACAGAAATCTCTGGATTACTCTGATAATTACGAGTATAAATGGAATAACAAAAATAAATAAGAAAAATTTAAACTAAATAACGAAACAATTAAAATTTTGCTTTCCAAAATTTATTGGCAACCTCCATGTTTAAAGCTTACGTTTTTCACAAAGTTAAAAGAAAAATTAATATTAAAACTTTACACTTGTCTAGGAGGCGTTAAATTTTGTCATTGAGAAAACCAAAAAATATCTTTTGATATTCTTATCTTTTTGATACCAAATTTGATTTGGAAATTGAATCATTATCTTTCCATTGATCAAAGAAAACGTTTAAATGAAAAATTATTTCCGATATCATCAAAAATCATTATCTTTAGAATTGTTCAAATTAAATTATGAATTTTAAAATTACAAGCTCTTGCAAATTATTACATCGGAATTAAGTAATTTTTTTGCCACATTTTTGGCGTGAATGGACAACAAAAAAAAAACTAAAGGGAAACTAAATTTATTTCATATTCGAAAACATCCTTGCAATAGAAAATGTGAACTGATGATAAAGAAATGTAAGTATGTAACAAATATAAGGGGAAATTGAATAAAAAGAGAATGAGTGAAAAGTGAAATGTTCTAAATGTCACTTGAATAAACATATGGGGTCCTAAGTAACCAAACATTGTTGTCTTTTCAACAAAAAAAAACAAAAAATTTTGTCATGTAATTTGTTTACAAAATAAACAAAGTTCTGAAAAATTAACAACAGCTATAGTTTTCAAATGTATCAACAAATTTTACGAACCCTAAAGTAAAGTAGTAGAAAAACTAGTTTTGTAAAAATAATCATTAAATACTGATATAGTTTGTTTTTGATTCCTAATACCTTGATGTACGGTATTTCAAAAGTTAAATCTTGGTAATACGTTTTCAAATTGCAATTTTCAGTTTCTAAAAGTTACTTTGGGCAACCTTGTCGAAATGAGAATGCTTTTGAGGCAATACTCCAATATTGTACATTACATTTTGTTTTACTTACTAAGCAAAAAATTTCTATTTCACATATAAATAAAAAATAGACTTCAGAGCCTAGTGTTAAATACCTTTTATAATCTGAATTTTTCGTCACTTTGTTCTAAATTCTTTTCGTGTTCCTGTTTTTTTTATAAACATGTTTGCACATAATATGTGTATATATAAATTCACTACGTATAAAAATATGAGTATTTTATTTGAGTAATATTTTACCATATAATCAAGACTTTGCGAAAATTTATCACAGAAAACATCTGGGCTTTAAATATACATTGCCTCTTTGACATGTGATGACAGTTTTTTGCGTGTAGTTCTTTTCTATAGGTTGTTTTTTTTATCTAGCAAAAAGGATTTTTTATCACACAAATTTTACCAAACAATTTCAAAATAAAAACGACAAAATATACACTTTTTTATAAGGAAAGTCAGTATTTTCTATTCTTGGGGACGAAATAATTTTTACGAAATAACCATTAAAATAATTTTGCAACTTTGACGTCTTGTTTCAGATATTCTTTTCTCAAAATTATCCTCGTCTTCAACGCTTGTTCATTTTATATTTTTTTTTTCAACTTATTCAATATAACATTTTGTTTAATAACAATTATTTATTCTTAATTGCAGGTTTGGTTTAAAAATCGTCGTGCAAAATGTCGGCAACAATTGCAACAACAACAACAGTCCAATAGCTTAAGTGGTAATACAAAAAGTTCAAATTCTAGTAATTCATCATCAAATCGTAATTCATCGAATAATAATTCAAGTAGTAGTCATAATAATTCATCATCAAGTGCAAACACATCATCGAAATCAGGAAATAGTGGAAGTAGTGGTGGTGTTGGTGGTCCCTCATCATCGAATTCAGGTAATAAATCAGCATCATCAAGTGGCGGCTCTAGTGGAGGCAATTCAGGGCCTGGTTCCAGTATAAGCAAATCATCGCATCATAACTCATTTTTAAATTCACATTCAATGAGTCATCATCATGGTTTGAATAATGGATCAGGATCAGGTTCATCCGGTAGTGGAACGACAGTTGGTGGTATACCACCAACGGGTTCTGGTTCAGTTAATCCACTTAGTTCAATGGCTGGTGCAGCTCCAGGTAGCAATAGTAGCGGCAGTGGCGGTGGCGGAGGTAGTGGTAGTGGTACTGGTGGAGGTGGGGGTGGTCCTGCTGGTCATAATTCATCACCTATTTTACCTACACCCGCCACCTCAGTTAGTCCTGTTAGTGTAGTTTGCAAAAAAGAACATTTATCTGGTAGTTCAGGATATTCAAGCGTTTCAGCAGCAACAGCCGAAAATTTACGTGCATATGATTCAATAAAAGACGAAATGGCTGCTGTAGCTGCAGCGGCCGCTGCACATCAACATCATGCTGTAGCTGCTGTTGCGGCAAACAGTGGTGTTTATGCTACAAATCCTCGTTTACTACAGCCTGGCGGTAATATTACACCAATGGATTCTAGTTCAAGTATTACAACACCATCACCACCAATAACACCAATGTCACCACAGAGTGCTGCACATGCAGCACAACAAGCTGCACAAGCAGCACATTCAACGCATCCCTATGTCTCTAATCATGAATCTTATAATTTTTGGCATAATCAATACAATCAATATCCAAATAATTATCAAACACCAAGTTATTATTCCCAAATGGAATATTTTAGTAATCAGAATCAAGTTAATTACAATATGGGCCATTCTGGTTATGGAGCTTCAAATTTTGGTTTATCACCAAGTTCATCTTTTGGCGGGTCAATGTCAGCGCAAGCATTTTCACAAAATGGTTTAGATTATATGTCACCACAGGACAAATATGTCAATATGGTGTAGGATATCCTCAAAATAAAATCGAAAGATCTATTTAAATCCGTATCAACAACAAATACAGGCTCATTACTGTCGCCATTGGGCTCAAGATCATCATCAGCATCATCATCATCATTATCACCATCATCAACATCATCAATAATTATGCCGTTGATGTATAAGACCTATAATAAGTTATTACCCACAAATTATATATAATAATTGGAAAATCGCAGGTTTTAAATATCTTTTTAAATATTGTTTGTAATAATCATGAGAAATCTGTTGAAAATGTTTAATATTTACGGAGGACTTAATGTTTTAAAATAAAAAATAAAAACGAAACCGAAAACTTTAAACTTTTTTCCAATCGTTTCTTATGTTACAAAAAAAAATATAAACATTTCATTAAATGTAATACTTTTATTTAATTTGTAAAAATAATAAAATATTTTAATTTTAGCATAAATTTAAAGGAAAAAGCAACATATCTCGAAAACGTATCACTAATAAATTACTACTAAATTAAAAGAAGAAGCAGCAATTTTTGTAAACCTGCGATTTAAACGAAAATTATAAGTGATAAAATATGTTTATTTCTAATTTTATTATTTATATTCTAATTATCATTACTAATATTATGTAATTAATTATAAAATTTAAAAACAAAAAGAATTATAGAATAATTGCAATTTGAGTAAATTATGAACATAAAATATGTTAAAGCTTGAAAAAATTTAAATGAAAACTGCCTTTATTTGTGCAAAATAATTGAGAAAAATATGAAAAAAAATAATTATAAAATAATTTTATTTTTTTTTACCCTTTTTTGGGCAAATAAAATTTAGAACTGAAATAGTATAAAGCAAAATTTAACGTGTGTATTAAATTAGGGGCGGCAGTGATTAAAATTAAAACACTGCATTCATTCACGCATAATATCAAAATATTAGTTCAGCAAAATTCAATTAGCAAATTTAAACCATTTATTGAAGTAATATTTCCAAGACTGCAAAGAAGATTTTTTATTACATTTTACAATACAAATGAAAAAGTGTTATCAATATGTATCGGTTTATATTTTAAACCTTTAACAGTTGCGTTTTACTTATTTAGAGTTCATGCTTTGTCACACGAGTATTAATCAAATTTTTAAATTAATTATTTTATATTTGAACTGTGTTGACCCTTTCCCTTATAACCATGCCGCTCCTGATTTATTCAGTCAAGAAAAGATTTTTTTCCATTTATATGTATTTTCGATTTACTGTTATTGAAAATATTAGTTTATAATTTGAATTCCAAAAAAAAATTGTAAATATTTATATAAAAATTAGAAATTAGAAAAAAAACATAAAACAAATTATTTTCATTAAAAAAATTTAATTATAAATAATAAATAGAAATTAAATCAGCGAGAATTAAAAATTTTCCAAAAGAAAAAACAACACATAAATAATAAGAAATTCCTTAATTTACTATAAATTATATTATATAAATAAATATTAATTATATGTATTGTTTAAATAATTTTTAAATAAAATTAAAAACATAAAAATAATTAAAATTTTTTCATTAAAATTTCACATCTGTAAAATATTCCAGTAAATATATTTTCCAAAAAAATAAAATTACAAAAAAAAAATTCCTAATGAAAAATTATTTAAAAATTTGTATAAAAAATAAAAGTTATAATACACTATAATTAACAAAAAAATGAACAAATTTAGAATATAATGTAAATTTAAAAAAATCATTTGATTCTCAATAAAATTTCATTTATATGATTGAAGAAAAGTCTATATATAGGAGAGAAAATGCCGATATAGAGCAATAAATAAAATACTTAAAACTATGGGAAAGAATATTAAGAGCAAATCCAAAGGAAATCCTAGTAATCAAAGAAAGCATTCAAAACGATTAAAAATTCAATAATTGAAAAATTCCTTTTTAATTTAATTTCAATTTTCAAAGTTGCTGTTTTACACAATTATTTTGTTTTTTAAACGAAATAACAATTCCAAAACACTTTACCAATCATTTGATTTTAGAAATATTTTTATAAAGCTTTTGGAAAATTGAAGGTTATTGCAAACAAGAACTAGGTCCAAAGCATTTGTTTCGCATTTGTGACAATTTTGTTAATGCATAATTTATTTTCCTAAAGTGATGAATCTTTCTTATAAGGATAAATTAGTTACATTTTCATCAGAAGGTCTTTTATTGATTAAATGAACTCCTAGTTTGCATTAACAAGCTGACAATTTAAGAATTTAGTTTGGTTTCACTTAGAAACTAATTATTTTTTAATTTATAAACTATGTTATGTACAAATATATCATCCTGGTACGAGTATTTTGTGCATTTAGTCTTCTTTCACATTTATTAAATTATACAATTGAAAACACTTACGTATCTAAATTACTCTAGATAACAGTTGCAGTGTAAATAATATTTTAGATTCAAATATGTTGCTTCCTAGGAACAAAAAGGTCCTGTATGTACTTATTTTATGTTAATTTTTTATTCCATTTAAGAACAAGATTCATGCTCGTTTAACAAATTTTGAAATTATTGTTCAATTTTTATTTCCAAAAAATAATTCTTTCCAACGTTATATTGAAAATCTGGCTTCTTAATAAAAACGGATTTTTTTTTCTATGATGAAGGTTATGATTATAAATTTAAATGGAAAATTATTATAAATTATATAATTTCACTTTATTTAAAAACAAAAAAAAATAATTAGTTAAAACAAATGATATTAAGAAGAATGAAAATACAAGAAGAAATCATGTACACAATGATGAACAACCACAGAAGGATGTCTAAACATAGTTAAGTTAAATATAATTATTATATAATCGATTGTTTGTAAAACATTCTTTGAAAATTCAAAAAAAAAAAATTCAAAAAAAAAATTCTAAATAAAATTTGTAAAAAAAAATAAAAGTGAAATTTTAGTTTAATGTTTAATGAAGAGGATATGATGAAGAAGAGAAATAATTGTATAAAAAATAAATAAAACAGAATTATATATCATTAAAAAAAATTTTTCTTTTAATTTTAAAGTTCGAATTCGATATCTGACCTTAGTTTTATTTGACCTTTACTTAACGAAATTGTGGCAGTATGACCATTCCTATGATGAAAATATTATTCAACTATATTGTCTTTACAATAGGAACATTGTACACATTTTCACTGCCACTTATAAGTCAAGGTAGAACGTTAGGATAGAAGACAAAAGTTTTAAAATTACTCTAATTTAGCAAATACAATTTTTCATACAACTGGAGATTGTTTAAATTTAATCTATTATTCTATTCGATCGACATTTAAATATACAACCATGAAAATAATATGACGTAGAGTATTGGCCATTACATTGGAGTGAGATTTTACTTTAGATTTATAGGTCTTAAATTAACAAACCTAAAATATCAACACAGTTATATTCAGTATCACGTTTAAAATATGTATTTATATAAAAATTTTCTTGTGGTTTTTATTTTGTTGGAATACTCCCCTTTACTTGGCTAGAGGTATGTGAATTACCAAAATTCTTCAAAAAGTAGTCAACACGAAAATATTCCGCTTCCAAGAAAACAACATGTTACCTACCTACCTACATAACTAAGAAAATAATAATAAACTCATCCCCTATTGAATTTGATTTAAATAAATAATATAAATAACAACCACACACAATCAATACTGTTGTGCGTTTGTAGAGATTTACGTCTGATATGCAACAACATACGTGGCATTCAAAATGTCATTTACAAAAAAACTTATTTTAATTGTTATTGCCATTGTATATAAATATTAATTTTCAATTTCATAATTTAAATGATATTGAAAAACTAATTCCCCGTTGTAATGATTACCTATATAAAAAAAATAAATTCACATAAATTTTGTAAAGAATATAAAAACTTTTTTGACCTTATTCACGCCGTATTAAGACCGAAAGTCGAAAAAAATTCTTCACATTAATTTTATCTTAATTTAAATGTTTGTTTGTTCCAAGTTTCATTATATGGTATATATTCAACCTCTTCCATTAATAACTTTCTTCATGTTCTTTTTCTTTGAGAGTTTTGTTAAAAATTGATATTTCAGTCTTTTTATATGGCTTTTCAGTTGATCACGCACATAAATTTAAATTTGAAATCCTTTTCAACCAGAATATTTCATAAACGATCCTCAAGCACTTATTTACTAAGACATGTGCTTCATTATAGTTTTGTTGGTTATTTGGCAAACTTATCATTATTGCTACACAGTGTCACAATTGTTTTTTTCTCTGAAATATAATTTTATACATATTCAAAAATTTCTTTCAATAACTGAGAAATATTTATGTTCGATGTTTGTAAAACCAATTTAGTATTTTAAATAAATCTGTGTGCTGAAAGTGTGAAATGCCAAACGGACGGTTAATTTTAATGGGAAAAAGTTTATATTTTTTAACTCGATTTCTTCACAATTGCATTCCTTTCCTTTTAGCATCACTATCACATCACTATCGTCTGAAATCTTTGTCATTCATATATTTTGTTGTTTTTTTGATTTCCAATTAACAATGCAAGCTAGAAAGAAGAAAAAAACAACTGAATTTGTCATCCCTCGTTCTGTTCTGTATTTTTTATGAGTTTTTTATTTTTGTCATTTAGGCTGACTTTAAATCCGTTCTAAGCCGGAAGTATTGCGCATGCTTTGTTAGATAGAAATTATTTTTTAACGTCATTTTTTACGTAACAAAAATGGGTACGAATTGTATGACTTTTATAAAATTCTTCTACACATTTGATAATTTTTTCTGATTTAATTTTATATAATTTAGCTTATATGTGCTATCTTAATGTGAAATAATAAATATAATACAAACATTTGATTCGCTCCCTTCAACTCGTAAAAAACAACTATTTGAACAGAAAAACATTTTGCTATACAGAGTAAATGTCTTTTTTTATATTTATTATTTTTCACTTTTATTATATGATCATTAAAAAAAGGAACGAAAATTTATACTGTACGGCTACCAGATATAAAAGGGAAGGGAAACGATCAAAATGATTTTTCATTCCTATTTGATTAATTTTAATAAAATGGAATCCAAACAATGAGTTTTATTCTTTTTTAAAAAAACTAAGAAAAAAATCCAAAATTTAAAATATGAATTGTATGTATGAAATATGTAATAAAAATTATAAAGGGAAGAATTTTTATATAAAACAGATTTTAAAATACAGGATTATAACAGGATTCCAATATTTCCTAGCCAAACTATTATCTAATTCAAACGAAATGGGGACAAAAACTGATTTTGTGCGTTTGTGTTGTTATGGATTTTATTTCCGGTTCTCAGTTGTACACGAAATACTTTGTATAACGTTTAAAAACTAAATTATTAATAAAATAAAAAAAATAACTTAAATCTTATAAATAATTATTTTCCATTTCCTTTAAAAATGCATTTAAAGATTTCGTACCATTTAAAGATCGTATGACGTATTTCAAGTAAAGTTACATTTAGGTCAATAAAATTCTCAATTGAATTTTAGTAATAATTCTTAATTATTGAAATTAATAATAACAAATAATAATTTATTACTAATCTTTAAAATTAGGTAAATTGTGTTTAAAAAGTAACTTAAAATCAGTTTGGGTTTGATTGTCATTTATAAGACCTTGTTAGCATTCATTTAAAGAAATTGCAGAGTTTCTAATAGTGCAAATATATAAACTAAATTTAATTATACAATAAATCGAATTAATTTCTGCAATTAAATTGTTGCATAGATAAAAAAAAAACTGATCGTAAATTAATAGACGTTCAATAATTAATAATCATATGCATATAAATTGTATTAAAATTGTAATACGCTTCTTAGACAGATTTTTGTAGTTCAGTCTTAACCCTTCAGCAAATAAACACATTAAGATTTTTAATTCTTTCCAGCGTTTGACTGTATAACTAAAATTTTCTGCTTTTAATTATAAGATTGGTTTTTAACTTAAAAGAACATTTGGCATTGTTAAAAAAAATATAAAAATTTTTTTCTTCAAAAAGCAAGTATGTTCATACGATGGAGAATGGTAGAATCGATAATTGAATTTTAATACATCAGAACAAACATATACACATATTTTTTTGTTTTTATATCCGTACGAACGCATGTTCGAAGGGTAAACTAAATTTGCCTTACCGTTTGTAACACTAAGAATAATGGGAGATATAGACTCAAGCGTATATTTTTGATCAGCGTCGAATTCTGAGTCGATTTAGCTTTGCATGTCCATTTGTCCGCCCGTCCGTCTCAACGATAACTTAGAAACTAATTGAGCTATTTCACAAATTTTTATTTTAGTAAAAATTTTTACAAATGATTTATTATAGTAAATGCCAGAACCCTATTTAAATTGAATATGATCGGGGTACTGGTTCAGGTAGCTGACATGCAACTTCAAAATTTATTTGACTGTATATCTTAGAAACTATAAAAGCTGTGGTATTGAAATTTCACACAAGCGAATATATTAGTAGGGCCAATGTGTTTGATAAAATTCGTTGAAATTGCTTGGCTCTTTCTGGTAGCAGCCATACAACTTCTATAGTAGTTTTGCCATATTTAAGAAAATATTGAAAACACAGTACTGAAATTTTTCATAAATTGATATGGCAATACGACAACTTAAAGTCACATCCTGTCTCATAGTCAACTATGGCATATTCACTCGCACATAGGATAACAAATTCGTACGGGTATCGCAGAGTTGCCACGGTCAACTCTACCTTTTCTCGTTTTAATTTGTATTTAATTTATCCGTGACAATTATTACCTTTCCTTAATAACTTTCTCGTATTTCATTATTCCCATAAAGTCTGTGGTGGAAAATATCGTAGGTATGGTCAGTAATTTTCATTAGAAGTTTAAAATTTCCATTTAATATTGATTTTTAATTTGATTGGCTTCATTATTATCGACATATTTTACATACATCATTATACATACATATACATATATAAAACAACAACAAGCTGTTAAAAATTAAAATTATCCTTTTTCGTTCTCTTCGATAAATTTCTTTAAAAAAAACTTTCTGTGTTTTAGCTATCTATATATTTGCGTGTCGTTTGTAAAAATTCTTGCGATTGTTATTGCAATTGAAAAAATTCGATTATAAAGCGTATCGTTGTAAAGCATATATTACAAAAAAAGAATGTTTATTTTCAAACTGACTTCAGCACTATATATATAGGGACAGCTTTTTTAGAAAAATCTAAATTATATAGGTTTGCTTATATTTGACTAAAAACTTTCAAATTAGCCAAATGTTATTGTTGCTCGAAGATTTAAAAAATTTTGCCCGTCTCTGCACACTATGAAATCAATTATGATTTCAAAAATTGATAAAATTAAAACCTAAAACATCGAGAAAATTTCTAAAGAAAAAATTAAATGGAAATGTGCTGGTTTTTTTTAAATATTTTAAGTACTAACGTTTCGAATTCAGTTAATAAATACAAAAACAAAGCAAAATATTAATACGTGAACGAACTGTAAAAGAAAATTAGGAAAAAATATTTGTTTTTTATTTTTTTATATGAACAAATGTAATCAATGTCCTGCGAATTCCTTGTTAAATATGCAAAATGTTATTATATTACTTAGGTTGTTAAACTTTAAGAAGAGAAAACGAAAAAACGAATCCTTTTCAATGCAACAAATAAAATAACAATAATTGACGAAAGCGAAAACTAACTGTAATTTTCCTGTTTTATGTTTTCCAAAATTTTTCTCAACGGGAACGTGTGGGGTTCCCGTACACAAAAGAAATAAATATATATACGTGTACCAAAGAAAAGACACAACTACATCAAAAAACGATTGTACAATTGTTTAACCAAATCCCTCCAACCTCTTATTTTGTTCTATTCAATCACTTCTTTGTACTATAAATTAAGTTGTAAATCCTTTGTATTCCTTGATTCTGTTCATCTTAAAGAAAAAAAAAACGAA